CTTCTCATTATTATTATTATTATTATTATTGTAAAAAAAAAAAAAAAGTACCAGCCTTTTTTTTTAGAATAAAGTGTAGGTTTTTTTCAAACGCATTTGTTAAATTATTATTTACTCACAATTATTAATAATAATAATGATTCGATTGTATTGTAAAATTAACACTTTTAAAAACGTAGAAATGTAAATAATAATAATAATAATTTTTTTTTTCTATATGATAAAAATCAACGATTTTAAATAATAATAATAATAATAATAATATTCAAACGGTATCAATTAAAAAGATAAAAAAAAAAAATAATTTTAAAGTTTCAAAGTACGCGTATTTTGCCTTTTATCATTGTTATTTAAATAATAATAATAATAATTTTGTTTTTTGTTAAACAGATATTAGGACCTAAGAATGATATCGTCGATGAATTAATGTATCAATTATGTGAAAAATTTAATTCAGAAATTATTGAATTAAATAATGATAATAATAGTAATGATTCTCTCTCGAATGTTCCTCGTAAAAAAATTATTAATAATAATAATAATAAGAGGAGTATATTGCTCTATAGTAATGCTCCCGTTAATAGTCAGTGTAAAATAAATGATTTATCGATATCGATAGAAAAAAAATATGGAGGGATCGATATATTGGTTATTGCACAAAATGAAGATTTTAATAATTCGAACGATTGTTTTTTAACGAATTTAAATAAAGAATTATTAGAACAATTTTGGGTGAGTAATAATAATAATAATAATTATGATGTTGTTGTTGAAAACATAAAATGGCGGTCATTTTGTTTTTTTTTAGACCGTCATGGCTTTTTTACCAGGGATGTTAAAAAGAAATAATGGAAGAATTGTATCGATAGCACTTGGTAGATCATCTTTAGTTAATACAGGTAAATACCAATCAATCAATCAATCACTTTGATAAAACCGTTAAAATAAAAATAAAAAAAAACGTTAAATATATTTTATTCGCCATTTTTGTAAATTTTACAATTTTATCTCATTGATTTTTTTTTTTTAAAAAAAAAAGAAAATTTGAAAAACGTGAACTGGTTATTTAAAAATGTTTTTTTATTGATACTAATAATAATAATAATGATAATAAAATTTTACGTTAAATAAAAAATAAATTTAACCTAAATCAAAAACTTGTTTTTTTTTTTTTTTT